TACATAGGTGAGCATGTGTGTACATATGCGTGTATGTGTGTAGATGTGATACATAGGTGAGCATGTGTGTACATATGAGTGTATGTGTGTAGATGTGATACATAGGTGAGCATGTGTGTACATATGCGTGTATGTGTGCATATGTGCATATTGTGTGCCATGGTTAGCATGGGCTATATATGAGACCCTATCTGAAAATAAAAAATGGAAGAGAACAGCGCGGTAGGTTGAGGCTGCACGTGGTGTAAATAATCTCCGTGACTTTGGATTATGGGCAACACTGGGTCCATATTTCGGTTCTTGTGCAATCCTGTTACTTGTCATTTCCATGGAATTCCCAGCGATGGGTTCCGAAACACTGCTGTCACCCCCCGGTGCTCCCACATGCACACTTTGGGATTCACCTGCCCGCTGCCCTCTCAGGTGTCTCTACCTCCTTTCCAGCTCCCGTCCCTGCTTCCCAGGTTTGACGAGGTGTACGCCCGGTCCTACTGCTTCTCAGCCCACTACATCTACCACCTGCTCGTGAACGGATACAAATTCACAGAGGAGACTTGGCCTCAGATACACTTTGAGAAGGAAGTAAGTCAAAGCACAAACCCTTTTCCCTTTCTCCTTGTCACAGAAAGGTTTATATGCATGGATGTAGAAGAGAGGTCAAAGGTTAAAGGATGACCTAATCTTGCTGGTCACCTGTGAACACCCCAGAAAAAGAAGTGAAAGAACTTAATATGTAGCCCTGGCTGGCCTGGAGCTCACTATGTAGCCCAGGCTGGCCTGGAGCTCACTATGTAGCCCTGGCTGGCCTGGAGCTTACTATGTAAGTACTAGGATTAAAGATGTGCATCTCCACTCCTGGCTTATAATTTGTTTTATAACAGAATAGTTAAGTGCTCTCTGTTATACAAAAGACAATGTAAAATACAGCATTGAGGGCATGAGGGGCTCACATTAGCGCCTTCTCATTAAATAAGAATTTTCTCTTTAAAGGAACCTGAGGTCACTGTGTTTACAGACAAAACTTAGGTTTGGGGAGGGCCTTCTTGTCTCAGTAATAGAATGATGGTAATTGGCAGATGATGGATGATAGGTAGATTAGATGGATGATAGGTAGATTAGATGGATGATAGGTAGATTAGATGGATGATAGATTGGATGGTGGGTGGATAGTAAAATGGTAGGTGATAGATGATACAGATAGATGAAAGATAACGGGACAGAGGTGGACAAATACATTAGACACATGGATACATAGATGATAGCTAGATAGCTGGACAGATGTTGCCTAGTGACTAAGATGTTTAGGAAGTGGAAGGACAGCTGTTTCAGGCAGGACTTGCCGTGTGAATCTGTCTGGCCACAGCTGTGTTCCCAGTTCCGATAGGATGTTCTCAATTCAGTAACAGTTAGAGTAAAGCCTGCAGGATGTCTGGAGCCATTCTGTCCAGTTCCAGCTTTGGCAAAATTGGATTAATCCAATCAATATCCCGAATTAAGCCTGGGACTGTCTATTTTCATGTAAGTTAAATTGAGTCATCTAAAAAAAACAAAAAAGTACGAGGATGTCTGGAGGTATGGACTGTTGGTGGCCTGTGTGCTGAGTCCTTTCCCAGCAAGTGCAACCATCTGCCAAGCACATTCTAGAATGGAGATTTCTGCGCTGAGGAGACATTCTCGGTTTAAATTTCCTTCCGGGGACTGGCCAGATGGCTCAGTTGCTAAAGGCACTTCCCAGTGAGCTCTATGACCTGAGTCAGTCCCCCAAACACATATTGGGGAAAACAACTGACTCCTGCAGGTTATTGTCTGACCTTCACACAGGTGCTGTTTCATTGTTTCATGTATGTTCACACACACACACACACACACACACACACACACACACACTGTAAATTCTTAAAATTTTACTTTTCTTTAATAAAAAACTTCACTCCTGGCCAAGTGGTTATCTATTTACAGTTTAGTTTTTTGAGACAGGATCTCCCTATGTAACCTTGGCTAGCCTGGAACTCATATAGACCAGGCTGGCCTTGAACTCCTAGAGATCAGCCAGTCTCTGCCCCCTGAGTGCTGGGATGCTGCCACACAGGGCATGGTGTGTGTGTGTGTGTGTGTGTGTGTGTGTGTGTGTGTGTGTGTGTGTGTGTGTGT